CTCTGTTGCCCAGGCTGGAATGCAGTGTTACAATCTTGGATTACCTCAGCCTTCACTTCCCAGGTTCAAGTGATTCTTCTGCCTCAGCCTCCTGAGTAGCTGGGATTACAGGCACATGCCACAACGACCGGCTAATTTTTGTATTTTCAGTAGAGACGGGATTTCACCACATTGCCCAGACTGGTCTCAAACTCCTGACTTCAGGTGCTCTGCCTGGCTTGGCAGATCAAAGCGCTGGGATTACATGGATGAGCCAGCGTGCTTGGCCGCTGTTTTACGTATTGACCCAATTCAGCAAATTGATCATACTCTTATTTTTCAGTTGTCCTTTTTTAATGGAAGTGTAGGACCTTTTTTTTTTGAAAATTTATCCCACATCAGTATATAATTTTAAAGGTAGCTAACTGGGTTTTTTTTAGAATGTGAAACAGGACTGGACTTTTTTTTTTGAGACAGGGTCACTCTGTCACTCAGGCTGGAGTGCAGTGGCATGATCATAGCTCTCTGCAACCTTGACTGCAAGAAATGAGTTTTAAGTTTTATTTAATTTTTTTTTTGGTTGTTTGAGATGAAGCCTCGTTCTTTGGCCCAAACTGAAGTGCAGCGACATGATTTCGACTCACTGCAACCTCTGCTTCCTGGGTTCAAGTGATTTTCCTGCCCCAGCCTTCCGAATAACGGGGACTACAGGCACCTGCCACCATGCCCAGCTAATTTTTGTGTTTTTAGTAGAGGTGGAGTTTCACTGTGTTGGCCAGGCTGATATTGAACTCCTGACTTTTGGCCTCCCAAAGTGCTGGGATTACAGGCATGAGCCCTGTCAGCCAGGCTGGCAGTGCCGCGGTTTCTGCTCACTGCAACCTCCACAGCTCTCCCCTCCCCTCCAAGTTCAAGCAATTCTTCTGCCTCAGCTCCCGAGTAGCTGGGACTACAGGTGCATGCCGTCATGCCCAGCTAATTTTTTGTATTTTAGTAGAGATGGGGTTTCACTGTGTTGCCCAGGCTGGTCTCAAACTCCTGAGCTCAAGCAATCGCCTGTCTCAGCCTCCCAAGCCTCCCAAGGTGCTGGGATTACAGGCGTGAGTCACTGCGCCCGGCAGTCCAGTAAATTTTAAGAGATAAAAACGATTACTTTTTATTTCGGTGTCGGAGTGGGTTGAGAAGGCTTTGCAGACAAAATAGGTACTATTTCTAGAGAACATGTGAAGGAACTGGGCATTTCAGATGTCAAAAGTTACATAAGCAAAGCTGGAAGATGGGGATACTTTATTCAAATTGTGTTAATTGTGTGCATGAAATACAGCTGGAAAGTGGGTTTAGGTTTGAGAGAGGCCTTAGGTTCCATATTAAGGAAGATAGGTTTGATTTCTGGTAGTTGGTTTTGTTTGGAAGGTAATTAGAAACACGGCAGCTTCAGAGTTACTGAGGTAGAAGAGAATATTAACACTTCAGCAGGATTTGCATGAAAGCTGGGCATTGTCATTGCTTTGAGGAGGTAAGGGTTTGAAAAAAAAGCTGTAGGAAAGAATGGAAAATGAGTAAAATTGCTTTTTAGTTACGTTGTGATTGGGGTCATGGAGGGATATACCTTAGAAATTCAGATCTCGTGGTATTTAGAAAGATGGAGATTTGCGGCAGCCTTTTTGACGTGGAGGAAGTGGGTGAGATTGCCTTGGGCAATTTCCTCAAGGGGAATATGGACTTTGAGAGGGGACACATTTACATGATACTGAGGGATATTTTATTTATTTGCACCTAGTGCCTACGACAGAGATTTGTTTAGTGCTTGGTGGCATAGTTGCAGAAAGGCTGAGCTTGACACCTGTGCTTTTGAGGGGCTACTTCCAGCACTTTCTAGGCCCAAAAGCTTAGGATTTGGAGGAATTCTGATGAGATCCTAGGGTATCCCATGTTTGTTCTTTCTGTTAGTAGAGGGCCTGGCTACCTGCAGCTGTCCTGGGAGATTGGCTCACAGGGTTCTTATCCATTGGTTAGAAAGGACCATTGAAGCCCTGGGAGGCTCAGCGTTCTGCCAGTTTTCACAGGGCTCTTCAGTTTATGTTTTATCAAATTAATAGGTCATCTAATTTAGTCGTATTTGGACCAAGGCAGTATGGTTCTAGAGCCTTTTTTTTTTTTTTGAGATGCAGTTTCACTGTTGTTGCCCAGGCTGGAGTGCAATGGCACAATCCCGGCTCGCTGTAACCCTCGCCTCTCAGGTCCAAGCGATTCTCCTGCCTCAGCCTCCCAATAGCTGGGATTACAGGCGCCTGTCACCATGCCCAGCTAATTTTTTTAGTATTTTTGGTAGAGATGGGGTTTCACCAGGTTGGCCAGGCTGGTCTCAAACTCCTGACCTTGTGATCCGCTGGCTTCGGCCTCCCAAAGTGCTGGGATTTACAGCTGTGAGCCACTGAGTCTGGCCAAAATTTACTCATTAATACTTTTTATTTTTCCAGATGGAGTCTTGCTCTGTCATCAGGGTGGAGTGCAGTGGTGCAGTCTCAGCTTGCTGCAACCTCTGACTCCCTGGTTCAAGTTAATCCCCTTGCATTAGCTTCCTGAGTAGCTGGGATTACAGGCATGCGCCTCCATGCCCAGTTTATTTTTGCGTTTTTGGTAGAGACGCAGTTTTACCGTGTTGGCCAGGATGGTCTTGATTTCCTGACTTCAGGTGATCTGCTTGCCTTGGCCTCCCAAAGTGCTGGGATTACAGGCGTGAGCCACGTCGCTTTTTAAGCTTAGGCACAGCATTGGTTTTTTTTTTAATCTTCAAGCAGGTTTCAGTTTTGCCTTTGTAAAAGAAGCGGTAAATAGGTTAAATCAGGAGATAGTGTGTGAATTGGTGATTTAGAAGAATGTTCAGAAGCGGGAATAAAGTTCCTAGTCAGAAATTCTAAGTCCTGGTCAGGTGTGGTGGTTCACACCTATAATCCCAGCATTTTGGGAGGCCAAGGTGGGTGAATCATCTGAGGTCAGGAGTTCAAGACTAGCCTCATTAACATGGTGAAGCCCTGTCTTTATTGAAAATACAAAAATTAGCTGGGCATGGTGGTGCATGCCTGTAATCCCAGCTACTCAGAAGGTTGAGTCATGAGAATCACTGGAACCTAGGAGGTGGAGGTTGCAGTGAGCTGAGATAGGGCCACTGCAGTCCAGCCCGGATGACAGGGTGAGACTCTGTCTCCAAAAAAAAAAAAAAAAAAATTGAGTCCCTGGAAACTAGTTCTTAAAAAAATTACCTTTTTACTTATATAATAGGGCAAGAGTTGTTTTCAGGGTTTGTAGACTATATTCTTGGTGAAGTTATGAGTTGTCTTAAAAATATTGGCCGGGCGCGGTGGCTCAAGGCTGTAGTCCCAGCACTTTGGGAGGCTGAGGCAGGCGGATCATGAGGTCAAGAGATCGAGACCAGCCTGGCCAACATGGTGAAACCCCATCTCTACTAAAAATACAAAAAAAATTAACTGGGCATGGTGGTGTGCACCTGTAGTCCCAGCTACCCAGGAGGCTGAGGCGGGAGAATTGCTTGAACCTGGGAGGCGGAGGTTGCAGTGAGCCGAGATTGAGCCACTGCACTCCAGCCTGGTGCCTGGCGACAGAGCAAAACTCTGTCTCAAAAAAATAAAAATTAATATATTGATGTAAGGATACATTATTTTATACTGGGATTTTGAACAGGAGACTTGAAAAATATTTAGAGGATGGTAGAGACTGTGTAGTTCACCTCTGTAGTATTTGAGAAAGGTAGTTATCACAGCAGACTTGTGCTCCAGCATGTAAATGACAGGACTCCATATGAAAGACGCAACCCATTTCATGTACAGATTTACTCAGTAGAAAGGTCAACATCATAGGTGTGTACCATTAAAATATATCACATTTTAGCTGACACTCAGATCTTGCCTGCTGTGGTTTTGGATTTATTATTGCAATAAGATTTAATTCTTAAGTGGTTTGTTTTATCTTCTAGGGCATGCATTTCTTTTGGTCCTAAGAATCGTTCAATTGGAGCAGCAGCTAAAAGCCAGGTAAAGTTTTTTTTCTCCCTAAAATGACTTATTTCTTTGGTTTATCCATGTGTTCAGCAAGTAGTTTAATGCTCATATGTGCCTAGCACTGGTAGGCCCTGGGTATACAGCTGACAGATACAGACCTGTTAACTCTTCTCATATACAGTCAACCTCAGAATTCCATGGGTTCTGCATCTGTAGATTCAAACAACTGTGGATCAAAAAGAGTATTGAGAAGAAAAACAACAGTGCAACAATAAAAAAAAGATACAAATAAAAATAATCCAGTATAACAACTACTTAGATAGCATTTAGATTGTATTAGGTATTATAAATAATCTAGAGATGACTTTAAGTATACAGAAGGATGTGCATAGGTTATAGGCCAATACTACATCATTTTGTACAAGGAACTTGAGCATCCCTGGATTTTGGTCTAATTCAGGGGTGTCCTGGAATCAATCCTCTGCAGATACCCAAGGACCACTACTTCAGTGAGAAGCAAATAGCCTTAAAATAGCATTAGCTGGCTGGGTGTGGTGGCTCATGCCTGTAATCCCAGTACTTTGGGAGGTGTAGGTGCACAGATCATCTGAGGTTGGGAGTTTGAGACCAGCCTGACCAACATGGAGAAACCCCATTTCTACTAAAAAAAATCCAAATTAGGTGCATGTGGTGGTGCATGCCTGTAATCCTAGCTACTCTGGAAGCTGAGGCAGGAGAATCGCTTGAGCCCAGGAGGCGGAGGTTGCGGTGAGGCAGAGGTTGCGGTGAGCCGAGATCATGCCATTGCACTCCAGCCTGTGCAACAAGAGTGAAACTCCCTCTCAAAAAAAAAAAAAAAAAAAGTAAATAAATAAAATAAAATACCATTAGCAGTATAATCTGTTTAATGCAAACTGCCAGGATGTGTTTTGTCCAGATCACGTTAAGCAAGGCTTGCTTGTTCCTTGATATTTTACATGCTCCTTAAAGTCTGTCTTGTTGGGCCTTTCATCTTACTCATATGTAAGGTAAGCGTTGATCTTGTTAGTCAAGATTCTCAAGGAAGGGAAGCATACATCTAGAAGTACATTAAAGGACTTGCTATTAGTTTACGCTGTAAACAGGGAACCTGACATAATTGCTGATTTCTGAATAACCAGAGCAGCAGAACCCCAAAAGTTCTGTTATTCTAAGTGTCTGAGATATCTGTAAAATTAAGAAAAAAAAAAAAGTTTGACCTTCTTATGGTTCAGTCTAGAGCAATCCTATAGGGTAAATCTGTTTTGAATGGAGTAGGGCTTAAAATTTATTAGTCTAAAAGTGGTGCTTGGCTAATTGGTTTTTCATTAAGTTGTTTGAGATCTCGTAGGAGATAGAAGGTAGAAAATATAGGGCCATTTTGAAATTTTTTTCCTTCTAAAATTTGAGCGAATTGCTCCAGTTTTTTAAAGCTGCTTTTCATGATTGAGAAAGAGTTACTGTACTAAACTGGCTGCCCAATTCTAGGTTGATACAGTTATTGTGTTACGGAGTTTCTGTTTGGCTGCTTACTCAAGGAGGGCCTGATTGGGGAGGCCTCATCTGTTTTACAAAAGGACTTCTGTGTGTGCCTTTTCATCTAGTTGTTATAGGAGCTTATTACATCTCCTGCACTGGAACGAGGAGCCTATAAATCCTAAGCAGAAGGTCATTCTGGAACTTTTTGAATCTTTTTGTTAGCATTTTCCCTTCATAAGTTGTGATAGTTTATTCTAAGAGAATTAGGTAACATAGATATAAAAGGGTAAGGAATTTGAAAGTCATTTGTTCAGCCTTTATGCAAAAATCATATAGACATTTGTCTTACCACTTTTAAAAACTTTTACCTATTGTGTGGTATTTCATTGTCTGGATTTACCATAATTTATTTAAGCATTTTCCTGTTAATAACCATTTAGGCTGTTTTTAGGTGTCTGCTATTACAAATAACACTCTCTCAATATCCTTTTGTGTTCATTTTTGTGTACTTAGTATGATTTTTATTTGTTTAACTGGAATTTTCTTTTTTTGTTTTTTGTTTTTTTTTGAGAGACAGAGTCTTGCTTTGTCATCCAGGCCGGAGTGCAGTGGCCCCTATCTCAGCTCAATGCAACCCCCACCTCCTAGGTTCAAGTGATTCTCGTGCCTCAGCACCCTGAGTTGCTGGGATTACAGGTGTTTGCCACCGTGCCTAGCTAATTTTTTGTATTTT